GAAGGACCAGGTGAGAATGACCGCATGAAGCCACCACATGTCTATTCCACACCCCCGGCGTTAGGCTGCTTGAGGCCAGGACCCCCGGGTTCCAAGGAGTAACAGCTAGGCTCTTATCTTTGCTCTAATCGGTTCCTAGAGGCCTGAGTGGACACATACGCCAGGCCACCATCTTCATCATATGCCAGACCCCCCAGACCCCAAAAAAGACCAGACTCCCTCCTTTCCTTTCTGAGTCTCCCAGACACTCTGTACCTTCACTCTCTTTATACCTTCGATAAACTCTGCTTTCACCTCCTGCTGGCTTGTGTTTGGTTTCTAGCCTGTGCACAGCCGGGACCTCTTGGCTGCTCCTGCGGGAACCCCTCTGGGTCCTTGGACCTGGCCCGCCAGCATCACTATCACAGAAATTCAACAGGGATTTGTTTTGAAGCACTTTGATTTGGACTGAAAATGAACACAGAGACAATGACACTATGAACAAAAGATAAAGAAGACAATGTAAGCATGGATATAAAAAGACACCATCGGAAGGAAGACACAGAAAATTATCCCAGTGGGTGAAAGATCTCAGAAAAAAAAAATAACAATCAGGTACACAGGGCAAGAAGATCAAAATGAGATTACTTAATAAAAGCCAGCATTTCTTCAAACCAAAGACAACGCACATTGTTTGTCCTTGAAATGTGATGTACACTCAAGAATGCTGCAGCAAAGCCAGGCCCAGCGCTGACAGAGCCCTATCACCCTTGCAGCCCAGAGGTCATTGTTCCCATACAAAATCCAGAGGCTTGTCTGAACCGCTGCTGCACAATGTAGCAGTCATTTGGAATAGAAAGCCCCAGAAATCAATGTATGCAGGGAGATGCGGAGTTTAAATTAGGCAAGAGCCCACCTGTTCAATAATGAAATAATTGCTCAGGGCCCATTCTTCTGTAATCTTTTCTGATGAGACATGTATTCTTGGGCTCTGCCTTTCTCAGTGCTTCCTCGACATTTGCAAATCATCTCAGGGCCTCCTAAAACTGATGCAGGAGCCAGGCAGTCAATTCCCTAATGCCACGAAAATAGATTCAATTTTACATACATCAGGGTGATTTCAGAAGCAATTTCTACATCTCTAGTGTAAGCATTACTTACATTTTTCCCCCTCAAATCTCATCCCAGCGGTTCCACAGGACATTTTAAAAGGTATGTGATACATTCCAGGGCATTAAAAAGAATCCCCAGGGCGTGTTTGTGGCTGTAGCCTGAGGACACCAGATGCACAGATAGAGTCCTAAAATATTCAGTGACTCAAACAAACGCAAAATTTCTTAATAATTGAGTATACTGCCAATTGAATTTTTCTCCTGTCTTTCTAAAAGCAGTATCATTAAAATGTATATGCAGGTATGTCTGTGTATATATGTGTTTGCCTGTGTACATACGGGTATGTCTGTGTGTGTATGTGTATTAATCACACACACATATCAATCATTTGGAAATATTGTCTCTCTTTACGTTGAAGATGTCTAATTTGATTCTACTGGATAGCTTTCCTCTTCCCCCCTGGCCGGCTAATCTACCTGGGTCTTGGGTGTTTTCCTCTTAAGAGCCTAAGTTTTAGCCCATGGGGAAAATAGTGGTGATGTTTCCCCTTGAAATCCAAAAAATTGGTGTTAACCAGGTTTTCACTTGAGATCAGAAAGCTTAAGGTCAAAGACCTAATTTTGAGGTCATGTATCTCTATAATATTTTTGTCATTCAGTCTTCCCAGGGCATTTTTACAAATGGAAAAAAGTGTGCCCAAGAATCTGGCCTAGCCAGAAAATTAACAAGTCAGGGAACGACAGATGTTGGCGGGGATGTGGAGAAAGGGGAACCCTCCTACACTGTTGGTGGGAATGCAAGCTGGTGCAACCCCTCTGGAAAACAGTATGGAGGTTTCTCAAACAGTTGAAATTAGAGCTACCGTTCGATCCAGCAATTGCACTACTGGGTATTTACCCCAAAGATACAAATGTAGGGACCCGAAGGGGTACATGTACCCCAATGTTTATAGCAGCAATGTCCACAATAGCCAAACTGTGGAAAGAGCCAAGATGCCCATCGACAGATGAATGGATAAAGAAGATGTGGTATATATACACAATGGAATATTATGCAGCCATCAAAAGGAATGAGATCTTGCCATTTGCAACGACGTGGATGGAACTGGAGGGTGTTATGCTGAGTGAAATAAGTCAATCAGAGAAAGACATGTATCACATGACCTCACTGATATGAGGAGTTCTTAATCTCAGGAAACAAACTGAGTGTTACTGGAGTGGTTGGGGG